ATCTGTAGATTGCTCTATTATTGCTACTAATATCTTGATATTTACTCTTTCATATCATTTTCATGCACATTCATATATATGTAAATGTATGTTTTTTTATGCCAATGTGGTAAGTGCATATTTGCTGTTTTTTTTTTCAAACTCTCATGAGGTCATTCTCTAATATTCCTTTGTAGTCTACTTTTTTAGCTAAAGGTCTTCACCTTTCCATGTCAATTCATTTCTGTTTAATCTAATACCCAGTCCATATTCAAATTTATCTAACTACCCCAGAAATCTCCTTTTAAGGTTGACATATTCAGTGTGTATAAAATTTTATCTAGAGAGGAGGAAGTATTACAACTGTTTAAAAAGAAAAAAGTTTTGAAACTACTCATCCAGTCCATCCCATGCTTGAAGTAGACACTTAAAAAATTTTTTTTTAATTTTTATTAATCACTCACAGTATAGAGTCCATGAGACTTATACAAAAAGCAAGGATCGCTTGCTTCCCACCCCAATGTCTCACCCGCAAGAATAATCACTTTTCAACTCTTTAGCTGGTTCTTCAGTATTTATCTCCAATTTATCAATGATAAATTCAGTATTTATCACCAAATAGCATGTTCATATTACTTCATTATGAGTTTTCCATTTTAGGCTGTGTCCATTTTATTCCCACCAAAGAAGATAAGACTCTAGTTCTTTCAACTTCCTGTTCCTGCCCAGACCTGCTCATCTTCTGTCCTCTCAGCAGACTTGTCTCAGTTTTGTCTGGATCATTCTTGATGCTTACATCATTATTATTATGTAAATTCTGTTACTTTTCCTGATACATCTTTTTATTTTTTATAAAATTTTACTTTTTATTAAAAGTTAACAATTGAATCGGTACTTTTGCTTAATATTTTTGTCTTTTATCACTAATATCACTGACAGTTGTCTAACTCTCTTCTAACACAGACATTCAGTATGTTCACATGGGTATTCTATCCATTTCCTTCCCTCAAAGTTCTGTTTCCCAGGCCCTTCTGGCCTGCTGCAGTCTGGGCTTGATATTTTCTCTGGGTCTCCTGTGCAGATGCCATCTTAGAATCTCCGTCATCCTGGGATTCATTTGCTCTCTTGGTTGGATCACATTCCAACTCTTTCTTGGCATGTACCTTCATCCTGGTGATCACATCTAATAGCTTTCCAAAAGGGAGTGTTAAGTAGTTCATTTTTTGAGAACCTTGCTTGCGTACAAATGTCTTTATTCTGCTGTGTAACAGTTGATGGTGTTCAGCTGAGTATTGAGTTCTGGGTTAGAAAGACTTCCCCATCCCTGCCTCCAGCACCCCCAGATGTTGAGGACACTGCTCCCATTGCTTATTTCCTATGTAACTGTCAAATCAGTTCCATTCTGATTCTTGACCGTTTACCTGGAAACTGTTTTCTCACTGAAAGTAGGAACTTCTCTTTCTTCTCAGTGTGGTAAATTTCATATGGTGTGCTTTCATCCATTGTGTAGGAAATTCAGCTTCTTCAGCCCCAAAACTCATGTCCTTCAGTGTGGGGAAATTATCTTGAATCGTAATGATTGTGATTTCCTTCCCTCTATTTTCTGTTTCCTTTTTCTGAAGCTCATGTTATTTGAATACTGGATCTTCTGCACTGGTCTTCTGATTGTCCATCTCTTTTCTTTGCCAGGTTCTATCAGATTATATCTTTTTGCTCTGCTTTCTGGGCATTTTAGCCAACTTTCTCTTCCTACCTGTTGAGATTTATCCTCCAAAATATATTAAGGTTTTCATTTTGCCATGATATTTTAATTTTCAAGAGCTTGTCAAAATTTTCTGAATAGCCTGTTTTAATAATAGTATCCTGTTCTTCTTTTATGATTACAATATCCTTTTTTATTAGATTACTGGTAATGGTGGCTACACAGCTCCAAGTATACTAAAACCCACTGAATTGTAAAGGGTGTTTTTATGGTATTTTTATGAATTATACCTCAGTAAAGCTAGAATTGAAAGCATCTTTTAGAATATTTCTTTGAAGGTATTAATGATAATCCTTTTGAGATTTTCTTCTCCTTGCATAGTCCTTCCTTTTCTCCAAGATGCATTTTCTGTATTTCACGTTAAGCCCTTCCTCAAAGGTCTAAAGATCCTGACTGTCCACTCACATTAGAGAAGGGGCACTAAAAAAGGCAGATGCTCTGTGCATCTGGCCTGCCGACTGGTGAGCCTCACGGTGAGATGAACTGGCTGGCCCTTTCAATGGGAGTTCTCCAGTACAGGTATCTCTGGGTCAGTCCTCCTGGGCTGGTCAGGTGGCCCAGGGAAGACTCTTCCAGTCTTGCCTGGAGGGTAAGAGACTGGATGCCAGTGTTCCCAGAACCCTAGGGGAACGCTGAGTCTTAAACTTTTAGTATGTAAACATTTTCTGTGTAGCACTCAAACTTTCATCTGTGTCTGCTATTTCTTGGTCCAGAGATTCTCTGTACTAGTGTCTCCAGAGAGTCAACCCCCTAGACTTCTGCCAAGATTGGGGGAGAACTGGGGGCCTGGGGATCTGTTGTTTTTTAATGGAAAATTTTAAACATAAGAAAGTAGAGATAAGAGTAGAATGAACTGCCACATGTCTATTAGTCAACAATTGCTAACTCAAGGCCAATTTTATTCCATCTAAATTCCACCTACTTTCTCCTCCAAATTTTGAAGCAGATCCTTTTCATCCACAAATATTTCATTTCATCCATAAATATTTCGTTATCTCTAAGAGATAAGAACACTTTAAAAGAAACACAATATCAGTATTGACCTTTTCCTCTCAAAAAAGCCAGTGATTCTTTAAGATCAGCGTTTAATCAGTCAGTTCTGACTTCTTTCTAAAGTAGGCTTTCCACCAGTTACCTTCACTTTCAGCAGTATCTGCTGCTACCAACTCCTGAGTCTTGGAGCCCTGCAGCGTAAGGCAGCTTGCCTCTCCACTTTTTTTTTTCTTCCTAGTCCTAGTTTAGGATTTGATTCCACTTTCTTGAGTCAGCAGTCCTAATCCCTCTGCTTCCCAGCTTCCAAAATTTCTATTGCATCGTCTCCTGTTCTCTTTGTGCTTTAACAAAAAAAATCCCCTTTATAGTATTGTCTTAGAGGGATTTCGGGGAAAGCAGAGGTAAATGCATTTGTTCAGTATGACTTCTTTGAACACTCCTGATGTCTGGTTGTTCAGCTCTTGCTGTGAAGCCTTGAGGGCTGGGGCAGGCATTCCTTCCCAGAGCCTCCTAATCCATCTGTATGCCCCACTGACTGCAGACACCCCCTCATCCATACTGATACCCCTTAATCCATCTGCATGCCCACCAACAGCATACACCTCCTAATCCATCTGTGCCCCACCACAGCAGACACCTCCTAATCCATCTGTGTACCCCACTCACAGCAGACACCCTCTAATTCCTCTGCATGCCCCCCAACAGCAGACACCCCCAATCCATCTATATGAACCCATTCCCCCACCTCGACAGCAGACACGTCTGTCATTGCGATGAGCTTTTCCCTCTAACTTCCATCTGATGACCTTAATCTAACTGCTTCTTCCATGACAGCCCATCAGATATTTGAAAAGAAGGATTCTCTTATTCCCAGTCATCTTTTCTGCCCACCAAAGATCCCATGGTTCTCCAACTGTTCTCAGAGAGCAGGCTCTAGTCTTCTCTCCATCATGGCTTTTCCCCTGTGTTCTCTTCCGTCTCATTTCCTTTTGGTATGGAGTTTACAAACAAAACTCAGGTTTCCTGATGGGTGTAATCAGAAAAGAACAGGATGATATTTTCTCTCCTTTTGAACATTATACCTTGATTAATGTAGCCTTTGATCCTATTAACTTCTGTGGCTAATCTTGTCAGCTTGAGTAGAGGCAAAAAAGTATGCTATGATCTTTCACATGTTGCTTTTAAACTATGTCTCCCACCCTTGCATTTATATCCATGTTTTTGGACCCAAACCCAGGAATTTGCATAGGTTCCTATTAAATACTGCACTGTTCAGAGGTCTGTGATGAAATAGGGGCATTTGTGTCAGTCATGAACTTCAGTGAGACATTTCCATATTCCGTGAAGGAGGGCTATAAGGAAAGGGGCTGGCATTCCAAGGAAAATGGAGGATCACTCAGAAAAGAGAGTAGAAGACTCCTGACATATTTCATGGTGAGGGATATTTGTGAGTGAGTGTATCAGCAGGTAGGAAGAAGCCACCGAAGATGGAGGGACTGAGATTTGGGGAGAGGGGACAGTTTGTAAGTGGAGAGAGTATTATAGGATGCCAGAGAATGGTGTCAGGTACACAAGAGGTAACAATGCAGGTTAGAAAGGAAAAGGGGAATACATTGCATTGCTAATGTGCTTTCACTGTATTCACTCTTTGAGTGTCACTTAATCCAGTTAGCAGCCTGTGAGTTTGGTATGATTTGCTCCATCTTTCAGATCAAGAAGCTGAGGCTTATGGAGGTAAAGAAATGTGTGTCAACTCTCATAGCTGGTTAGTGACAGAGCAGGAGTCAAATCAAATCCCAGGTTGTATGTGGATCCCCAGATGGCCTAACATGGGCAGGGAACAAGTGAGATTATGGTTAAAGGTTAGTGAAAACAGGGCTGTAAAGTAGGTAAATCAAGTTAGCTCTTGTGTCTGAAGAGCGTGTAAAAGGTAAAACCCAGCTAAACCTGAGGCACTACTCTAAGCCAGTTCTTTCTAATAATGGCTTTGTATTTGGCATTTTGTAACTAGTGAAAAAATTCTTTGTGGTTGTTTCCTTCTGAAATTATTTGGGGCAAGGGAGATTACTCTCTTGAAAGAAATGATAAAATTGCATATACATGTAATACTTATATATATACATATACCTTTGCAAAAGCACAGTGAATTACTGTCCTGGATTTATTTGTTCTTTGAATGATGTACATAGATACTCTTCCTGCAATGACAACAAAGTGGCTCCAGGTTTGGAACAGACCTGACTGTCTTTCATCTCTCACCTGGTAGGCCTTTGCCCAGTTTGATGCTGAGGGTGATGGTACAGTTGATGCTGAGAACATGTTGGAAGCCCTCAAGAATTCCAGTGGAGCTAATCTGCAGGGGGAGCTGAGCCACATCATCAGACAACTGCAAGCCTGTTCTCTTGTTCCGGGTAAGGCTCTTATCTGAGTGCGGAAGGCTGCAGAGCGTTGTCTTCAAGCCAAGACCATCCTGTGATGGTCCATGGGTGCAGGGACCTTCTCTTTCATTTCTGGTGTGTCCCCACATTTAGCACACATTTTGGCACATGGGAGGCACCCAGTGTTTTTTTTCTTTTTTTTTTAGGTAACTTTTACTCTGAAACTTAACTAAGAATAAAAAAAGTTTAAAATTAAGCAATACTTCTAAATTATGCATGTGAAAAAACTTCATCTGTAGTGTCGTATGGTTTCTTTTGGGAGCTCAGAAGACTGAATCAAAATTAAATTACCCTCTTTTTTTCCCCAGCAAGAAAACAATTGGGTTTGAAAGGAAAAAAACTTTGCACATCATCCTTTTAATCTCAGTTTATCTTATCCAACAACTTTTCCTGTTCTGTGTGCTTAGCATAGAGGCTGACTAGGGAAGCAGGAGAGGCAAAATAGATTTGATAGATGCATAAATGTAAATCTGTGTGCCCACATCTTCTCTGGCTTACTGCTGGGGATGTATCAAGCTAGCAAATGTTGGTTTCTGTATATTAATGAATATGTAATTTTTATAGAGCTTTAAAGTAACCTGTGCATGTTAACTTTTTTCCTACTCTCGTGGCAATTAAAAATTATGCTTTGAATTATGTTTAGCTAGCTCATGTCTCGGCATTTACATATCACTCCCACTTTTGCTTACCAACATATGGATAGCATCAGGAGCTTTATTTGGATACCTCAAATGTTTTGGGAGGAGAGGAAAGGGTGGAGACCAGGAAATCCACCAATAGATAATACTTAATGTACTCTTACTCTGGGTGATTATGGGGAGAGGGGGAGATTAGGTGAGAAGAATTCAGGGTCTAGACCCCAAGGTGCTGACACAGAGGGTCATGACTTAGGACTTTCTACTCAAAATTTTCTGTCAACAGCCAACTTAAAAGAATTGTTTTCTCACAGTCTTAGTATGAATCCTGGTAAGCCGAGCTTGCCTGTCTGGTGAGATTTGTTTCCCAGGTCCTCTTTCTAACCCAGACTGAAAGATGTTCTGTTTGTATCTTTTGTACTGGGGCCTAGTGTTTAAAAGGGAGACCGCACCCTGACCCCATGTACTGCTTGTTTCAGCAGTGGGAACAGCTTTCCTGTTACAAGCATCATTCTCTTTTTTCACATGAGTTCTGAGCAGATCAGTGCAGCTTGGGTACTATTGTGGGAGTCAGCTAAGAAAAGAAAAACTGTAAAAGGATGGCAAGAGATGGCATAGGATTTTGAGTCTTAGAAAAATCAAACTAGTGTCTCCAGAGTTTGTGTAGGGAGCAGAATCAAAATGGGCTGCTTTGAGTGCAGAATTTCTCAGCCTTATGTTTTATCTTGAAAATTAATGTGAAGTTTCATTGTGCTTGATAGTAATCTGTTTGCTTCACCCTCACAAGCAACTCCCACAGATTTCTGGGGTCTTGCTCTGGGCACTGCTTTCATGGTGTGCGCAGTTGGTGAGAGGTCATCAATTATAACATAGGTACTTGTTGTTCTGTATGTTATGATTCATTAGAAAGCTAAACAAAAATCCCTCCAAATCTACAAGTATGCCTGAGCTCCAAGAAAAGCTGTCGTGTTTATCCTGTCTCAACTTAGCCCTCGCAGTCTGGCAGGGGGCACCTCAGTTCAAAGTATATTATTGTAGGTTATGAGGAAGAACCATGAAGGATTTTAAATGGGTAAGCATGGTCTGTTTCATGTTTTTGTAAGATTATTCAGGTTGATGGTAGACAAAGAGCTGAGGGAGCCACTTAGGGAATCTGGGTAGGTGTATGAATGGGAGATGCTGAGGCCAGAGCGTGGGCAGTGGCCAGACGAGGAAGACTCTGGAGGGTTACACTAGGCAGAAAAAACTGGAATGGTGGAAGGAGCCCTTGGAGGCAGTGCGAGGGGGCAGTTCCAGTCCCCCCCCCTTTCTGTTACTTGGTGCTTGGCCACCGAGCCTCATTTTCCTCTGTTGCAAAACAAACATGCTAGTACCTTTGGTGCTTCCACCCCTTCACCCTTACTGTGAGGACCATCTGAGGTGAAATGTGGAAGTACCATATAAGCTGTAGAACGGCATCAGAAATTGTGGTCAGGGTGGTGGTGGTGTTACCATTATCACCTTATGTAGCTTTAGTATAAAACAGTTTTATTCCTAGCCCATATTCTATGTGCAAAACTTCTTTAGAAACTTCGAGTTAGTATTTAAGTGCTTATAAATTTTTTAAGCTTGGGTTGAAGCAAATAATCATTATTCTAAATCTTCTAAAATTCTATTAAACTAAAGTGAAATTTTAAAATTAAGATTAACACTGGTTCATTTCTTAAAAACTTGCTTAGATTTTTTAATAATTAAAGCTGAAAATATCAGTGAAGATTCTTAATGGCTGTTTTATTGAGCCAGTTCAGACAGGCCACCAACAGGGGATGTGGGAATTATTTTGGTGGATTCCCTAAAACACCAAAAATGGATTTTGTGTGTTTAGGTTTCATAGATATATTTTCAGAGTCCAAGGAGGGCCTGGGTACTCACTCGTCAATGATCCTGCGCTTCCTGCATCGCAATCGGCTCTCTAGCACAGCCATCCCTTACCCCCTGCTGGACCACTGCAACAACATGTGCACCATGAGGGCTTCTGTTCTGAAGGAGTCTCTGGATCAAATGATACAGAAAGAAAAGGGTACGTGTGCGTGGAGACAGGTTGGCGTGGGGAGGGCTTCCCGAGAATGCTCCTTTACCACTTCTTCCAAAATGTTTATTAGTAGGGTGAGCCAGCCCTTCTCCCTGCCTTTATTTCTGAAAATATAATAGTAACAAGTTCCTAGCACAACAGTGTGATATGTTTTCCCTTCCTTCCTTCATCCTTCTTTCCCTTCCTTTTTAACACAACTGGTTTCTCATCATTCAGGTCTCTGCCCAGGTCTGACTTCAGGGAGGCCTTTCCTCATTACTCTGTAATTAACACCCACCCCCCATTCCCCACCTTCTGGTCACTATCACCTTTGCAGGTTTAATGGTGCACAGTACCATGATCTGCAGTTGTAGTAGTAGTATTTACTTGCACTCTGTCCTGTTGGCTTCATTATGCTTAGCACCTGGAACTGTGCCTGGCACATAGTAGATACTCTCTTTTTGAGTAAATGAGGGAAGCCACTACAGATTCACGCAGTGATGAAAATAGAAGTTGATAATGTGAATAGACAAAGGTCCGTGGAACATAATAGAGTTCAGAAATAGACCTAAGTACATGTGGGAGCATAGTGCCATATATAGTTCAGCATTACAAATCAGGAGGGAAAGGTGAATTAGTCAGCAAGTGGGGTTAGGGTAACTGGTTAGCCATTTGGAGAAAAAAATAAAAGTAGATTCTTAGCCCATTTCATTCACTAAAGTAAATTTTAGGTAGATCCAAAAGTGTTGTCAACTAAAAAGAAAACTTAAGAGCGCTAGAAGAAAATAGTTCTACTTTATAAGTCTTGACATGGGAAAACCTTTCTAAGCAAGACATGTAACTCAGAACTACAAAAGAAAAGATTAATAAATTAGACTGTACACAAACTTTACAGCAAAAAGTATCATAAACAGAGTTTCAAAAGACAAATGACATTCTAGGGAACAAAAATATATCGAATTATGTAACTGAAAGACTCAGTTTTTTATTAACTCTGACTTTAGGCAGTTACTTAACTCTCTGTGCCTTTGTTACCTCATCTCTAAAATGAATTAATACACAGAAAATGTATAGAAAAGTGGCTGGCTTACAGTAAACATTCAGTAAATATTGCCGTGTGTGTGTGTGTGTATTATATAATGTATATAGAATGCATAAATTGACAAGAAGACCCAGTAGAAAATAGATGAGGGTTGGGACCAGGCCATACTCAGAAACTCAAGTTGCTTACAAATAGTGGCTTAAAAAGTCTCACTCATAATTAAAGAAATGTAAAATTAAACTGTGAGACACCATTTTCTTCTCTTGGCATGGTTTGCAAATATATCAGTGATTTAAGTATTATAATGAGCTCATGGAACAATCCTTGGCCAATTTCTGCATGTGGGTTCTTTGGAAGGAGATTTTAAGGAATGTTTAATTTTCTAGGACCAAAGTGCCAAGCATATTTCTGTTAGATAGTTTAAATAACCCTTTTTTTTCCTCTTTGTGCATGACATATCATATTATAAAATCTGGTTTTCCCTGCAGAAAGCCCTGGAGATCTAACCAGAAGCCCAGAGATGGATAAATTCCAGTCAGTAGCAAAGTGCTATGCTTATATAGAAACTTCCTCCAACCCTGCAGACATTGACAAGATGACCAATGGAGAAGCATCATCCTACTGGCAGTCAGATGGCAGCGCCCGCTCACACTGGATCCGGTGGGTGGTGTAGTGCCAATTTGTGAGTGAAAGCCCAAGAAAATAACCTGCTTTCTTCCTCTTATCCCATCGGTGTTTTAAAAATTTATTTTTTTAATTTTAGGATATTTTCTACTTAACTGCCTAGCTTTTTTTCTTATTGTAACTGTGTTCATAGATTCGTAAACATGGAGACTTTCTTTTGGTATTTTAAGGGAGAAAATCGCATTTGACTAGTATTTTATACTGATTTCAAATCTTTTTCACTAGTTTCTCAGGAAAATTAGTATCCAAGGAGCAAGTTCTTATATTAGATCCAGTTTTACTTTTTAAGATACTTTCTGTGCATTAAAAAAATCTTTATTTAATTAAGTTGGCCAGCTGAGAAGAAGAAGGAATGAGATGATCAGAATCCTGGAGTGGATATTTAAATTTTCATTATTCCTTTAGAGAATGGGCTAATTCAGTTGGTGGAAATAGAAAGAATTGTTTTGTTTCATCATAAAGGGTATAACAACCTTTAGCCATCTAATTTATAGATGAGGAAGATACTCAGTTCTTTATTTTATATTTTATTTATTTATTAAGATATTATTGATATACACTCTTATGTAGTAAGATGCCACAGATTCACTATTTGCCTTCTCTGTGCTACACTGTCTTCCCCATGACGCCCCCCCACACCATGTGTACTAAACATAATGCCCCCCAGCCCCCTTCTCCCTCCCTCCCCACCCACCTTCCCACACACACACCCCCTTTGGTAACTGCTAGTCCCTTCTTGGAGTCTGTAAGTCTGCTGCTGTTTTGTTCCTTCAGTTTTGCTTTGTTGTTATACTCTGCAAATGAGGGAAATCATTTGGCACTTGTCTTTCTCTGCCTGGCTTATTTCACTGAGCATAATGTCTTCCACCTCCATCCATGTTGTTGCAAATGGTAGGATTTGTTTCTTTCTTATGGCTGAATAGTATTCCATTGTATCTATGAACCACCTCTTCTTTATCCATTCATCTACTGATGGACACTTAGGTTGCTTCCATTTTTGGCTATGGTAAATAGCGCTGCAGTAAACGTAGGGATGCATATGTCTTTTTGAATTTGAAAAGTTGTATTCTTTGGGTAAATTCCAAGGAGTGGGATTCCTGGGTCAAATGGTATTTCTATTTTTAGTTTTTTGAGGAACCTCCATATTGCTTTCCACAATGGTTGGACTAGTTACATTCCCACCAGCAGTGTAGGAGGGTTCCTCTTTCTCCACATCCTTGCCAGCATTTGTTGTTCTTAGTCTTTTCGATGCTGGCCATCCTTACTGGTGTGAGGTGATATCTTATTGTGGTTTTAATTTGCATTTCCCTGATGAATAATTCAGTTCTTTAGATGCAGGTTGGAATTTGCTTCTTGCCAGGTAAAGAAGTAAAGATTTTGTTTGAAATTCATATTGTACTTCACTGTAGTAATTGCTTAAAAGGAAATACAAGATTCATCTTGAACTGAAAGGAATGTTGGAGACTTCGGAAAGTCATAACAACTTTGAAACTATTAGCCAGAATTGCCAAATTACTTGCTTTTAGAGGAAATCAGTCTTTGGGTATATGAAATATAAGATCTTAGAGATGGAACTTGTGAATCCTGCCAGTTTCCAACATATGTAAACATTTGTAATTTCTGCTTTGTGTGTTTTTCAGTTTAAAAATGAAGCCAGACGTTGTGCTTAGGCACCTGTCCATTGCAGTGGCTGCTGCTGACCAGAGCTACATGCCACAGCAGGTGACCGTAGCTGTAGGGAGGACTGCCAGCGATCTTCAGGAAGTCCGCGATGTGCACATTCCCAGCAATGTGACTGGCTACGTGACACTGCTGGAAAATGCCAACATCAGTCAGCTCTGTGAGTCAACCAAGATGCATCTTACGCTTCTTACTAAATGGATCGGAAGGGGAGGAAGGAAATAATACTTTTTAGCAGGACGACCTCTGCAGTGGAGAAGCTTTTAGTTTTTCTTTGGAAATTTGAATTGCTTCTCCTGAGGCATGTGAGAGTGGTCATTATTTCATCTATTCAGTGTTTTAAAAGTTAGAGAAAAGCAAGAAAGCTGTCTTTAATTAAAAATATGTTATGGTTTTTTTATTGGAAAATCAGAAAAATATGAACAAAAATTACCCTAAATCCTACTACCTAAGGATTATGAATACATTGCTGTGGATTCTTCCAGACCTTTTTTTGTGTTTGTGTATGTGTGTATGTGTGTGTGTCTTACACACACACATACACACATACACACACACATATATACATTTTTTAAATAAAAAATAAGTTTGTAGATATTATATTTACATACATCTATACATATCTGTTTACAAAAATGATATTCTGTACATGTTATTTTGTAATTTTAGCATGTTATCATGTCATATATTCATGCACACCTTTATTTAGTGTTGTAAGAATATGCCTTAATTTCAACCAGCTCTCTATTCTTGGACATTTAGGTTTTTTCCATTTTTATACTATTATAACCTTGCTTCACCCACAGCATTTTGGAAATAATCACAATTCTGTGATTTCTTTCCAGGCTTATTTCATTCAGGGAGCCAGAATGCTTCATGTTTTGTCTCATTTCTTCTAATGCTCTCCTGGGCCAAAAGAAGTGTTCTTACTTTGGTCAAAGGAACTGAGGCCTAGGGAGGTAGAGTCTTTGTGTCTCACCCTTAGGCAAAGAAGTAGTTAAGATTGTAGAGCAGAAGCTTCCTGTCTTACCCTGGGGTGGTTTTTTCTCTAAGTTCTGTCCTTTGTAACTTTTCACCTCCCAAATAAGAAATGATGACAGCTCTTAGGAGTCATGCCTATGTCATCTATTTGGACTTGATTATTAAAAAGAAATTCTCACAACCGCTATGAGCCAGCTACCATTTTATAATTAAATCCCAATTTCAGAACTCTGGGAAGAATTCTAGAAATTGTCTTACTGTATATTTAATCAGAATTTTAAGAACTTCCTTTGTGTTAATTTTCAAGACTCATAAATTCCCAAGAAGACTTGTGATATAAAGATTTATGCTACCCCTAACTTTACACGTTATTCTTATAACTCCTTAGATTTGTCATTGCTTTTTTGGACACGTTTATTATATATGAGCTCCATTGCTAAAGTTATTTATTTCTGGTATCAAAGTATATCTTCAGAATTTTCTTTTCAAAATATGAATTACTATTTTGTATTTAATTGGGAGCCTAGCATTTGCTGAACTGGAGAAGTTAATCCAATACTGAATTTGTTGTTTATGCTTGACAGATGTCCAGATTAACATAAAGCGTTGTCTTAGCGATGGATGTGACACTAGAATTCATGGTCTGAGGGCTGTTGGCTTTCAGAGAATTAAGAAGTCTGGGGTCTCAGTCTCAGATGCCTCTGCAATATGGTATTGGTCTCTGCTGACATCTCTGGTGACAGCTTCCATGGAGACAAATCCCGCCTTTGTCCAGACAGTGCTACACAATACACAGTAAGTCCCTCTCTGCTTTCCAGTCCTGTTAATGTGACCTTCAGGGCATGTCACTCGGCAGCCTTCAGTCATCCAGACTCAATCAACAGCTCAGCCCCAGGTACCCTGTTGTTTCCTGTTTGCATCTTCAGCTGTAGTCTTGTGAATGAGTCACACATTTTCTGTTCCTTATCTGTTGGGGAACCATTGCTTGCCTTTATATAGCACTTTATATCGGATAAAGTGCTTTCACGTGCAGTAATCTGTTTACCTACATATACTGTGAAATGTACCTATTAAAAACTATCCCCTTTTTATAGATGAGGATATTGTGACCTTCCCTGAGGTATGTGATCAGACAGTGATGGATCAGTTTGATCTAGGTCTTTGAATCTAAGTTGAGGGCTTTTTTACAATTGAGTGATATTGCCTCAAGGATACTAATTATTTTTAAATGTAGAGCATCTTTGAAAATTCTCTTTTAAAAACTTGGTGAGGCAATAAGACCCAGTAGTACCATTTGAGGCAAAAGCAACCAGCTTCAGTAGCCATTAAGTATTAATGTTACATCTAATTTCACTGACAATAGGCATTATTAGTATAGGCTGTCAAGGTATCACATAAAAAGAGATTGTGAATATTTTGTTTCCTAGATATCTTTTGAGATTTGTTATTGCTATTAAATAAAACTTATCAGCAGATAGCACTGCTGGCAGTACTAGATCTGAAGGGTAGTACTTGGCCATACTTCTTTCTTCCTTCCTGTTTAAAAAAAAAAATGATTTCAAACTTAGAGAAATATTGTGAGTACAGAACAAAGAACTTTTATTTCTTTCTGAGCCATTTTAGGATAATTTGTCAACATGCTGCCCCACTAACCCTGAGTGCTTCAGTGTATATTTCCTGCTAACAAGAAGGTTTCACTGCAACCATCAAAGTCAGAAAATTAACACTGATGTACATTGGTATCATCTAGTGCTCAGATCCCATTCAAGTTTTGCAAGTTGTCCCAGTAATGTCTGGTGTAGCAAAAAGATGCAACCCAGAATCATACAGTGCATTTTATTGTCGTGTCTCTTCAGTTTCCTTCAGTATGGAGCAGTTCCTCAGTCTTTCCTAGACTTTGATGACTTTGACACTTTTGCAACTTGTAGGTCAATTATTTTGAGGAGTGTCCTTCAATTTTGGTTTATGTTTCATCATGATTAAACTTCTATCTTTAGCAGGAATATCATAGAAGCAATGATGTGTGTCCCATCAGGTGACACACACAACTTCACATTGTCCTATTACTGGTACTAGTGATGTTAACTTTGATACATTGATGAAAGTGGTGTCTGCCAGACTTTTCCACCATAAAAATTATTTTCCCTTTATATCCCTAAGCAGTTGTAATAGTTAATCTGCAGTGGTATTTTCACTCCTAACTTTAAATATCAGTGGTCCAAAACATTAAAAAAATTTTTAATTATTGAAAAAAAGATCAATGAGGAAAAATAAGTAACAAAAAGAATGTTATGAAACAAAAGTGTTTAGTTGTATTAGTGGAAATAAATTCAATAAATCCTTGCATGCCATTCATGTACATGAGACCTCACTGATCAATTGCATTTTAGTGTTAAGTGCCATACTGTTGCAGCTCAGTATAGAGGGGGGAAGAAATGAGAGCAGAGTGGAAGCTGACATGGTGTTAGTCTTGCTATATTGTCTCTATTTTAAAATGTAGAAATAAAATTGGTTTAGGGAACTTATTACAGTTATTATATAAAGTGACTATTAATTGTAGAATTTCTAGTTATTTTTACATACCTTCAGGTTCATGGTACACTCACTCACCTAGCACAGTTGCTTCTAGTTGCATAAATTTGTTAGATGGACTCAGTAACTTCTAGTTGCATAAATTTGTTAGATGACTGCTAGACCAAGGAGGTAAAGCTATTGAGGGATTCAGAAAGATAAACCTAAGATGAGATGAGAAAAGAGAAACATTTTGCAGACGTTAAGGTAGAAAAGCCAAGAAACACAGGCAGGAATATAGAAGGTGATAGGTGCTGATATATTTGGAGAAAATAAAATGCATGATGTATCTCTAGATACATCCTAAGATCTTATGTATAAGGATAGTTTTTTTTACTGTGCCACAAACTGCCCTGCCTCTGGGGTCAAATTTTCTAAGAATTGCAGGGATTTTCCTTAGAGTATATATGTCTTTTAGTCACACAACTTAAAATGAATACTTGATTCTAGGAATTTGAATAAGCTTTTACAGAGGAAAATGGAATTTTAAAAGAAAGGGGAAAAAAAGAAAGAAACCCCACTAAAACACTTTGCACCATGATTCCTGGGAAAAAAGGCTGGTTTATATTGCATACTGGAGTCTCTGTAGGAACACTGTTTATAAGGGATTCATCAAGACAAGCTTCTAGCAATTTGTTGTTGAATATTATATTATTAAATCTGTTTTTTGCCTGGACTTGTTCTGATCTTGCATTTTACATTTCTAGGAAGGCCCTGCGGCACATGCCCCCACTCTCCCTCTCACCAGGATCTACTGATTTCTCAACTTTCCTGTCCCCTAATGTTCTGGAAGAAGTGGACAGCTTCCTCTTAAGGATAACTAGGTAGAATCAAGGTTGATGAGGTGGGGTTTGTGGGAATAGAGGGTATATATGCTGTTAAGTATTTTTAAAATGTTTTAATCTTTTAACGATCACCACTAAAAATAGTTCATTTTTAAAGACTAGAGACAAAGTGAAATGATAGTTTGCCTCTGAGCTCCATTATCTCACAATATCACCTGACCTTGGAAATTGGGGGCCAGTGGGTGTTGGCCTCTGATTCAGCTAGAATAGATGTCTCAAAGTCCAAAATGCAAAACCTCCCAGTTCACTGATATCCCCAGCCCGTGGCCTTACTCAGCACCTGCTTACCTCTACACCTAAGTCTAACAAGCCTGATTGTCCCTAGAACCGGGAAAGGGCACTTCGATAGCTTGATAGAGGTGTTGAGTAATGTGGGAATACTGCCAGCACAGCCCTGAGGACGTTACCGTATTGTACAAAACGCCCTGAGCCGTCCACATGGTTTTAAAACTTTCTGTGCAGTGTGTTTAAAGATGCAGAGATGTGTGATGTGGAGTCAATCTAAAACACATTTTCAGTACTTAAAGGAATAAACCCATAACTCTCTGACCGAGAAACTACCTTTTTCATAGCAGAGCCTTACTGCAACAGCTGATTTATTTGGGGTTTGTAAAGTTTGACTTAATTAAAATTGATATTATCAGCATTGTATAATACTTACAGACCAAGCTTATGGAAATGAGGATTTCATTTCCTGGTCCTCTGAAATTACTTAGTTTTTCTTTAGATTATGTTCCTGGTAAACATACAGAAATCATATGACAGGTGGATTTTACTAATGGTGATCAATTTACATGGGTTTGAGCTCCCTGGGTTTTCTCATGTTTTTGAGAAGTAAAAAAGTTTTTTGCTCTTTGCAGCTGCTGTTCCACTCCAGAGGTGGAGCTGACTCTTCTGGCTTTTGCGCTAGCGAGAGGAAGTGTTGCCAAAGTGCTGAGCTCTCTGTGTACCGTCACTGACCACCTGGACACACTCTATGATGCCTCATCCCTCATCTCATCCATGGCCTCAGTCAGGCAGAACCTTCTCCTTAGATATGGTAAATGACCTAGGTTTGATGGACAAGCCATAAAACCATCGTCAGCATGCAACTTTCTGACTTCTTATCTTTTCATGTAGTTTGTGGACTGCATTGTTGTAGCTACACTGTGATTCCTGGATGGACCATGTCCTTGACTAGGGCTGGTGAGGGAGAAGCGGCTGTCACTTCATTTATGGCAGCATCAACAGAACAGGTCCTGAGTGTCCACTAGGCTGTACAACCAGGACTCACTGGCCTAATTATTTAGGTTTGGTGGCTATTTGATCACAGCCATCTTTGGTGAAATACAGGAATGTCTTCTTCCTAAAAGGTTGGGAAGTTGGAGTATCACTCATCTGGAGAGGGGTGGGAACTAGCCTAGACACAGCGCAGAGGATCCTTATCTTAGAATGCATCGCTCTGCATCCCCATGAGAGCTGGTTGGAAGGACATACGTGGATGTACATACATGCCTGCCACCCACCTCTTTCCCATTGTGTGCCCAACAGCAATCCTTCTTAATACTTCTCTTCTGACCTAGAAGTAGAACTTATCTAGATACCTAGGGCCCTAATCCTTCTCTGCGTGGGAGCCTATACAGTTACTCCCAGATGACTGCAGTTGGCGTGTGAAAAACAAATTATTTGCCATCCCAGCCTCTAGTGTTGAAGTTTCTGTCCAAACAGTACAGTATTGGATCCCTTCCTCATTAGTAATAGAGGCATTACTGTGATATTCCTGTCATGATATTTGTACCTTTGATTTGATAATGGCTTAATTTATTTTATGTTTAATTTTTAAAGTCAGGCAATTGGTGTCTTATAAATCCAGTTTCCCTTATAAATTAGTGAAGATCATTTTTTGAGGGGTGGGGGTCCTATAGCAGTCATGGCTGGATGGGAGGGATACATAGTGTCTGCAAAATATTCTTCACAGAAGTTCTCAATTAAATTAGCAGTTTTTTAAACAGGGAGCACTGGATAGTGGAAGAATGCATAGGGGAAATGTTGTTTTTGTTAATGTTCTAGTTCAGGGTTGGGTTATAGGTAAATGGGTCTTCATTATAGTATTAATTAAAACAAAAGAAAAAAGAAAAGTTTTCAGATCATCATAACAAAGTTGATTTTTATAGTTCTTAAAACTCAAAATTTGCCAAAAGGTGTTTTAAAGAAACAGTACGCCAAACCTGAAGCTGTTATTTATATACAGTAAGATTAATTATTGGCTCCAAAACAGTATTTTAGGAATCTCTCCCTGAAATATGCTGAATCTGTGGTATTAATCTGTATTGCATAATATGCTTTCTTTCTGAATAGTGGTTATTCTGGACACTTCTTGGAGACACTTAAGAGCTTAAGCTATACTTTATCTCTTTGATGTCAGCTTTGGTCTAATACTATGTCTCTGTTTTAGCTTTTGAGTGGGTAAATTTTTAGTCAACAATCTGGATGGCCATAGGCACTCCTTTTCTAGTGATGTGCAGGCTGGTTTTCATTTTATCACCACTAGCTTAAGGTGCTCTCTCTCTCTCTTCTGTGATCAGGTAAACCTCTCCAGTTGACTCTTCAGGCCTGTGATGTCAAAGGAAAAGAAGAGAAGTCAGGACCTGAAAACCTCCTTGTTGAACCATGGACAAGGGATGGTGAGTGGTGGACCTGTGTGTTTTTAGGGAATGGGGAACACAGTGTGCTCACCAGGCAGCTGTGTGCAATCACATGCTGGTCTTTGAAATTTTCAGGATATGCAGTCTTCCCTTCAGGCTGTCTTTTGGTTGACAGTGTGGTTTCTTTATTATAGCCTTGTAATCTGCAAAGTGTCAGTGACCTGTAATAATGTAAAAGTCTTTAAGAGCCTTCAGTTTTGAAAAGCAAGGACAACTCCTTGGAATATGAAAGGTTACTGTTTTTTAAGTTCAGATTGACTAACTGGGTGTCATCTTAACATATTAAGAATCTCAGTGATGAAAGCAGGAACTGGCTCTGTGAGAAAATAAAAAAAATAGATAAACCCCTAGCCAGACTTACCAAGAAAAAAAAGAGAATCTACATACATAAACAGAATCAGAAATGAGAGAGGACAAATCACTGCGGACACCACAGAAATACAAAGAATTATGAGAGAACACTATGAAAAATTATACGCTAACAAACTGGATAACCTTAAAGAAATGGACAACTGTCTAGAAAAATCGACCTTCCAAGACTGACCCAGGAAGAAACAGAAAATCTGAATAGACCAATTACCAGCAAGGAAATTGAATTGGTAATCAAAAAACTAAGAACAAAAGTCCTTGACCAGATGGTTTCACTGCTGAATTTTATCAAACATTTAGTGAAGACCTAACACCCATCCTCCTTAAAGTTTTCCAAAAAGTAGAAGAGAAGGGAATACTCCCACACTCATCATACGAGGCCAGCATCACTTTAATACCAAAACCAGGCAAAGACACCACAAAAAAAGAAAATTACAGACCAATATCCCTGATGAACATAGATGCAAAAATACTCAACAAAGTATTAGTGAACAGAATTCAAAAATCCATCAAAAAGATCATCATCTATCATGATCAAGTAGGATTCATCCCAGGGATGCAAGGATGGTACAACATTCAAAAATCCATCAGCATCATCCACCACATGAACAAAAAGAAGGGCAAAAACCACATGATCATCTCCGTAGATGCTGAAAAAGCATTTGACAAAATTCAACATCCATTCATGATAAAAACTCTCAACAAAATGGGCATAGAGGGCAAGTACCTCAACATAATAAAGGCCATATATGACAAACCCACATCCAACATCATACTTAAAGGGAGAAGCTGAAAGCTTTTCCTTTAAGATCAGGAACAAGACAAGGATGCCCACTCTCCCCACTTTATTCAACATAGTTCTGGAGGTCCTAGCCATGGCAATCAGACAACACAAAGAAATAAAAGACATCCACATTGGCAAGGAAGAAGTTAAACTGTCCCTGTTTGCAGATGACATGATATTGTACATAAAAAAACCCTAAAGAATCCACTCCAAAACTACTGGACCTAATATCTGAATTCAGTAAAGTTGCAGGATACAAAATTAATACACAGAAATCTGTTGCATTCCTATACACTAATGATGAACTAGCAGAAAGAGAAATCAGATAAATAATTCCATTCACAATTACATCAAAAAGAATAAAATACCTAGGAATAAAGCTAAACAAGGAAGTGAAAGACCTATACCCTGAAAACTACAAGACACTCATGAGAGAAATTAAAGAAGATACTGATAAATGAAAACACATCCAATGCTAATGGATAGTAAGAATTAATATTGTCAAAATGGCCATCCTGCCTAAAGCAATCTACAAATTCAATGCAATTCATATCAAAATACCAACAACATTCTTCAATGAACTAGAGCAAATAGTTCTAAAATTCATATGAAACCACAAAAGACCCCGAATAGCCAAAGCAATCCTGAGAAGGAAGAATAAAGCAGGGGGATTACACTCCCCAACTTCAAGCTCTACAGCAAAGCCATAGTAATCAAGACAATTTGGTACTGGCACAAGAATAGACCCATAGACCAATGGAACAGACTAGAGAGCCCAGATATAAACCCAACCATATATGGTCAATTAATATACAATAAAGGAGTCATGGATATACAATGAAGAAATGACAGCCTCTTCAACAACTGGTGTTGGCAAAACTGGACAGCTACATGTAAAAGAATGAAACTGGATTATTGTCTAGCCCCATACACAAAAGTAAACTCAAAATGAATCAAAGACTTGAATGTAAGTCATGAAACCATAAAACTCTTAGAAGAAAACATAGGCAAAAATCTCTTGAATATAAGCATGAGCAACTTTTTCCTGAATGCATCTCCTTGGGCAAGGGAAACAAAATAAAAAATTGAACAAGTGGGACTACATCATGCTAAAAAGCTTCAGTACAGCAAAGGACACCATCAGCAGAACAAAAAGGCATCCTACAGTATGGGGGAATATATTTGTAAATGACATATCTGACAAGGGGTTAACATCCAAAATATATACAGAACTCACACACCTCAACACCCAAAAAGCTAATAACCCTATTAAAAAATGGGCAGAGGATATGAACAGACATGTCTCCAAAGAAGAAATTCACATGGCAAACAGGCACATGAAAAGATGCTCAACATCACTAATTATCACAGAAATACAAACTAAAACCACAATGAGATATCACCTCACACCAGTTAGGATGGCCAACATAGAAAAGACTAGGAATAGCAAAAGCTGGTGAGGATGTGGAGAAAGGGGAACCCTCCTACACTGCTGGTGAGAATGTAAACTAGTTCAACCATTGTGGGAAGCATTACGGAGGTTCCTCAAAAATCTCAAAATAGAAATACTATTTGACCCAGGAATTCCACTCCTAGGGATTTACCCTAAGAATGCAACAGCCCAGTTTGAAAAAGATATATGCACCCCTATGTTTACTGCAGCACTATTTGCAATAGCCAAGAAATGGAAGCAACCTAAGTGTCCATCAGTTGATGAATGGATAAAGAAGAGGTGGTACATATACACAATGGAATATTATTCAGCCATAAGAAGAAAACAAATCCTGTCATTTGCAACAGCATGGATGGAGCTCAGTGAAATAAGCCAAGTGGAGAAAGACAAGTACCAAATGATTTCACTCATCTGTGGTGCAAAAGAACAAAGCAAAAACTGAAGGAACAAAATAGCAGCATACTCACAGAACGAATGGATTAAGAGTTACCAAAGGGAAAGGGACTGGGGATGGTGGGTGGGAAGGAAGAGAGAAGGGGAATAAGGGGCATTATGATAGGCACACAAAACTGGGGGAGGGGTGGTATAGGGAAGGTGATATAGCACCGAGAAGACAAGTAGTGACTCTGTAGCATCTTACTACGCTGATAGACAGTGACTGTAATGGGGTATGTGGTGGGGACTTGATAATGGGGGGAATCTAGTAACCACAATGTTGCTCATGTGATTGTATACTTATGATACCAAAATTTTAAAAAAATCTCAGTGGATCAGTAGCACTGTACTGCTGAAAACATAATTTAAGAAGGGTATTTCTCAGTATGGCTGATCTGGCATTGGAAGTGTCTGGAAGCCTCACACCTTTTCTAGTGTCAGTGTGATACTTGTTGCTGTATTCTTCAGCAGTATGGCGGGTGGGCTGTTTTCCTCATCCAGGGGAGTGCTTGTGAGTCTCTTTCTCATCTGTCGTGCTGGCCAGCCAGTTAGTCTCTGGCATACATCCCTCTCTGCTCACTGTACTGCTTTAGATGTTGCCAACTCACTGAGGAAATTGGAATGTTCCAGCAATTACTAACATTGGAAGGAACTGGCCTTACTGCTTTGGATTTAGTTTCCCTTTAACTTGCTTCTCAGCACTGCAGGCCTCACGCATTCTCAGTGTCACTTTCCTCTATCCTGTTTCCTATGTTCGTTCTTAGCACCAGCGTAGTGAAGACCTCTGGAAAGTGTGCTTTTCTCAGTTGCATCTCCTGTCCTTGGAGGTCTTCATAAGCAGTAGGCTCTTGCACAAGACAGGCTTCCTGCAGTCCTCCCTGAGTAGCTCAGCCTCTGCAGAGGCGTTTCCTTCACTGTATCCATCATCCCTGCCACACTGAAGGCCACCACTGGCTGCTGAGTCACCTGCATCCAAAGTGGGGTTGGGAAGAGGTGGTGGCAACTCTTTGCCCTTTTCCCCTCCCCCGACCCAGGAAAGGCAGGCCACTCTGCCAGGCTCTCTGCATCCTCCTTCACTCTCTGAAGAATTGGGATTTTTATCTTTGAACCTGTAAAGCAGAATCTTCCTGAAACCAATAAATGGATTTTTTCTTATACTTGTATCATCATCTACTGAAAGGCCTCTTTTTTATTTTATCTTTTTTACTTTTATTTTTTGAGAGGGCATCTCTCATATTTATTGATCATATGGTTGTTAACAACAATAAAATTCTGTATAGGGGACTCAATGCACAATCATTAATCAACCCCAAGCCTAATTCTCAACAGTCTCCAATCTTCTGAAGCATAACAAACAAATTCTTACATGGTGAACAAGTTCTTACATAGTGAATAAGTTCTTACATGGTGAACAGTGCAAGGCAGCATCACAGAAACTTTTGGTTTTGATCACGCATCATGAACTATAAACGATCAGGTCAAATATGATTATTCATTTGATTTTTATACTTGATTTATATGTGAATCCCACATTTCTCCCTTATTATTATTATTATTATTATTTTAATCAAATGCTGAAGTGGTAGGTAGATGCAAGATAAAGGTAGGAAACATAGTTTAGTGCTGTAAGAGGGCAAATGTAGATGATCAGGTGTGTGCCTATAGACTAAGTATTAATCCAAGCTAGACAAGGGCAACAAAACATCCATGGATGCAGAAGATTTCTCTCAAAACAGGGGGGGTGAGGTTCTAAGCCTCACCTCTGTTGATCCCCAATTTCTCACCTGATGGCCCCCCTGCGACTGTGCCTGTCTTAGGTTGTTCCTCCCTTGAGGAATCTTACCCGTCTCTGGCTAACCAGTCATCTTCCGGGGCCATACAGGGAAATGTAAAGTTGGTAAGTGAGAGAGAAGCCATATTGTTTGAAAAGGTTAGCTT